GGTCAGCAAGATTCAGACGTGGAGCAGATGGGGATGGCTCAGGAAACAATGCACAAACGAGTAAAAAGTCGAGATCATCCTCGTCACTTGAATCAGAACTATCATCCGAAGAAGAGTCGTCATATGGCATGACCGTAAGGAGGCTATCGACTTCACGCCTGTACAATAAACACCGCATTCAGATAACTCTAGAAAACGTGATTACATTTAGCATGATATCTGCTAAAACGAGTGAAAAATATTAGTCCTTCGCATGCATATATACCGTGAAGAAGCCGCCATTTTGGATTTTACCCGGAACTCATCTTTTCCCGCCAAAAGACGTCAACGCCATGCTAAATTCACTTTTGGTGACGACGGCAAACGGGTAACCTCAAACCGCTGGCAGCCGTTTGCCGTTTGCCGTAAACGCGATGCTAAAGGTCCCTAATGTATATTTTTGTACCCATGTAAGCACGAGTATTATATAAATCGCTTTCTCATGAAATAAAATACTTTTATTTCATTACTTTTATTAAATAGTTTACTTTTGGAAAGCAAAGCTTGAGATTGTTTCGAGGCAATACGGCTTTCCAGCGAAACCGAAGGTGTGATTTCGCACATTTCCAGACATGGTCAAAACTGGACTATTCTTTACTTTTTTTTTTTCCATAAAAGTGAACTGCTGACTATGAAAATTTTGAGTTAAATATACCATATGAACAGTCCACTTCAGGCGGCGTGAATTTTTTAACAATTATTATTTAAATTTCTATTTCGAGGTTACTTATGTATTTAATTATTCTTTTATTATTTTTTTTAAATTTTTTTTTTTTAGACTCCGCACTCCGCACTCCGCACTCCGCACTCCGCACTCCGCACTCCGCACTCCGCACTCCGCACTCCGCACTCCACGTTTTCGGAACAGCCTCTTATCTTAATTATCCGAAAATTAAGTAAAATACTTTTATGCCCGTAGAGTGAAGTGACCTTTAGTTTTTTTAAAAGTGATGAGAGTTAGAAAACATAAGTCAATAAATCAGCTAAGAAACTTAAGTTAAATTCGTGTCGGATCATATAGTTTCTCGGCAGGTTTCAAAAGCCATCCGAAGAGTTACAAATCAAGAGAATTCTAGCGAGTTGATCATCCATAACGGCTTTCTAGGATTAACAGACATTAAATGCACATATGCTTAAGCGAAATAATGAAGTGCGAAGATATTGTCTTGAAATGCGAATAAGCAATTAGAAAGAGGCAAACGCAGATACGATTTATTCACTGATCATTGGGAAACTAAGACGGTGAGAAATGGTTGACAAATACTTAATTTCATTTTGCCTTTTAAACTAAAGATATGATTCATAGTGCAAATGATTCCATATGAGGCCTTCCTCTGTGGGCAGAAGTGCACATCCCAGGAAACGACACTATCGCTTTTATTAACAACATCTTTATTTGCGCCATTAGTGTCCCTTTCTGCATCTTCGTCTTCCTGGGAAACCTGGGTGTCATTGCAGCTGTTATCAGGACACCTTCCATATAAAGACGAAGCAACATTCTGCTGAATCGCTTTAAGTCGCCTTAACCCTTTGCATACTAAGTGAACACATATGTCCAGATGATACCTTTACTACTTTTGATACTTGTTTCTTGTTGAACTTAAGACACAACATTATGTAAGTGTGTAAATTGTGCTGGCTAGTTGATGTGGCACCTATTGCAACCTAAAACGCCCACAATGATTCCTGATTTTCATTGCAGTGAACCGTTCGTATGGCAACAAATCCCAAAGTGCAGCATTTTGCTCCAAGAGCAACACCATAAACATGTCGATCTTTTAAGATAAAAACTTGCTAAAAAAAAACAAAAGTTTGCGTTCAAATCACACTTCAGGGCCAGATCTTGGAGTCTGGCAAGAAAATTCCTTCGCATTTTATCTGCCAGCCCTCGTTTCTCCATTTGATGAAAGCCAGTGTCGCGAACACAACCGTTGCCTTGTTCATGCCCGAAAAGAATTCTGGGTAATTCCGCCATAACTCGAAAAGGCAACTCCTATCATTTAAAGGCAACTCCTATCATTTCCATTTCAAAGAATTTTTAGAATCGTGTCGGGCCATCCAGTCCTACCAGTAAAATATCGCATCGATTGAAATTTTTACCGATCAAAACTTGGCCACATAGCCTTGGTAGGTCCTGGAAGCCATCCACAGATGGGCCCGAGAGACAACTTCACTTGTGAACTCGCCAAGCTGGCAGTAAAGCATCGTTGGCGGTCCAGTCTACATGAAATCATCTCTCACTTCTGTTTTCCTTCAGAGGCTTGCCTCTACCCACATCCCAGCTTAATGATGCCGTCGTGAGGGCTTCTGTAGAGGGAAAATGGCTCGAAAAACACTTATAAACGGACAGAAAAGCGAGAAACCGAATCGATTTGAACACATCCAAACACGAACTGTTGATCGACAGAGCTGAATAACGTATATGCATGCGCCAGGTTTTGCCGCGGAAACACGGATTTTGAGTCGTTCGCATGGTTGATTTCCTATTCTGTTGCTTCGAGGCGTTGTTTTCCTTGTCGCTTTTCTTTTACAGAACAACATCCAAAAAATTGGTACACCCCCTAAAAATTTTAAAAAATTAATTTTCTCCTTTAAACTTTTGGAAATAGGGAAGTGCCTTCGACGAAAACAGAGTTCCTCGGTTTTAAAGGTCAGCCCTTAATAAATTTTAGACCTAGAACACTTGAGCCCGCGTTGTTGACCGTATACCCGCTGACGTAGCATTTCATTATTCAGCTCTGTCCTGTTGATCTAGGTCATGTGACCCCAAGGTCTGAGCCCATGGTGTCTCAAAACCGCAAATATTGTAACGGATGCTCCATATGAGGACCAACAAAGTGAGGTTAAGTTTGTATCGCCAAATTAGAACTGAAAAAAGCATGGTCTTTTTCGTATTCAAAGGGTTAAGTCGCCTGAAATCGCCTAAAATTGCAATGTTTTTTCTGCCAATTTTGCTTAAGTCGCCTTAAGTCGCGTTAAATCGCGCAAAGTCGCCCACTGAAGTTTAACTGAGGGTCTATATAAGCAAGGAATAGGAATGGTTAGTTTTTGTCTTAGAAAGTGTGGGAATTGGGTAAAATAAACTTGTCTCATTCTTCGTCCTAGACTCCTTAAGCTTGTGGCTCTAGCCAACTGAAACTCTCACAGGCTTTCAGTTGCCGCTCTCGCCACTGTGCCAAAGGATCCTGCTCGCAAACGAGCTTCCTACAAGCTGTGATTGTGATTAAACCGTAACAGACGCAACCTATGTCTACGAAGGTGGCAGAGAGTTCTGAGGAAATATTAGACAGGGGAGGCTCATCAAAGCGTGTTGGATACGTTGATGCGTCCTTAACCTTTAACAACAATTAAAATGACCCACAATTACATCACTCATTAACCCAAAGTGGAAGAGTCATAAGCAACACGTTACACCGAAATACATGTACCTTTATTTCTTCATTCGGATATGTATGAAAAACTATACACTGATTCAATCAAAGCCCCCCAAAATGGGAACACATATTGTTTAGTTGTATCATGCAGGCCCAACGAGCCTTAGTTAAATTTCATAATCTCGCAAAAAAGTCAACCGAATTTCTTCCTCTAATCTACATGATCAAGCGTTCACGTCTGGTGTCTGTTAAGAAAGGCCGGCATTACGATTACAACAAAACTTTAAGGTCTTGGCCTTCACATCTTTGAACAGCTTAACGAACTTATTTTCATTACTTGTTGAGAAGATTTTTCCCTCTTAGTCCTGATGATAAATTCATTCTATTAGCCATTAGCCATTCGTATGCTTCAGCTCAAGTTTAACCGGCAAAAAAAGAAATAAAAACAGGCCACAACGTTCGAAACAAGCATTATTTAAAGATGATTTGGTTTTATCAACTGAATTGGCAATGAAAATTGGCTATTATAAAGAGTCTCTAAAGCTGAAGTGTCGAGCGTTAGCCATTAGTTAAACAAACGACGAAGGACTTAAGCACGAACCGTTAGCTTAATGATCAAATCTCTTTACGGTGGCCAATTTACACTATCATCAACTCTCTGATAAAACCAAATTATCTTTTAATACCCATCACCGACACAACACCACTATTTCTTTCAAAACTTAGACCTTTCCTCCATCATTTAAAGAGCATATGAATAACCTAGGACAACTGTCCTAAAATTGTCATTTAGTTCCATACAATATTAAAGTCCAAGACTCCAATATTCCGGAATTGTCTTTGCCATATTCATCCGGGTCAATGTAATAAGTTTTAGATAGTTTTTCATTATCTGCTTGACGTGAGATCCTTCTTCGCTCTATTTCTACGTATTCCTCGTCAAATCCTCCGAGTGGTCTGCTATCGTCATCATCGTTATCATCTACATCATCATCCTCATTATCGTCTGGTGTCGTGCTCCTTACGTCTCTAGATAACTCATTTTTACCACCCGTAATTTGTGCCTCTAAAAGTTCTAAGTCATCGATGTCGCCATGTTTGATATCCTCCCGAACACGAGCGAGGATGTCAGCATTTGACTTTTCAGAAGCTGGATCCTTCGATAAACGAGACAGCTGATTTTCCAATGCTTCCTGCAAAACCTCCAAGTCCTTGCCGTCGTATTTTGTATCTGAATTGTCTTGATCACCTCTAAATTTACTTTTAAAAGGGCTGCCATCTGTGGCGTCATTGTTGTCTGCGCTATCTTCCCCAGACGCTGAATTGAGCTTATCAACAGCTAAATAATGAGCCAGGTTTTTGTCTTCTTTATCTCTTACGTCGGCACGCTTGTCCATTGTGCTGTTTTCTAGACAATGCGCCTTTTGAATTGCCAGTGATGCATTAGTGGAATCTAACGAGAAATTACAAAGATCTGAGGTGTCTCCATCAATTGAGTTCAGATTAAACCCAACTTCTGTGATCAGATCATCATTGTCCTCATCACCTTCCAGTAGAGTGGGCTTTTTTTCAGATCCAAAGACTTCACCTCCATCATCAGTACTTTCACTGTATTGATTGCTTTCCTTATCGCCATTATATACCTCGTACGCATCATTTTCTCGTTGTCCTTCCTCCGCTAGTTTGTTGGAAACAGAAAGAGACGTTTTCTCTTCTTCAGCTCCTCTACAGTTTGTTGATCCTTTACATCTCAAAATTTCAGTTTTCAAAATGTTTCCCAAGTTCAAGTTTCCAGAGGCATGTTCGTCAAAATAATTTCCACTTACCATACCTCCACTTCCATCCATTCCACTTGCAGTGATATCGCTGTTGTGATCTCGGTTATCTTTAAGTACTTTAAAGAACTGAATGTGCTTGTGTTTATTTGACTTGATAGTTCCTTGTTTGGCCGTTTCAAAATGGTCTGAAGTTTTGTTTACACCTGCAATGACTGATCCGTTCTCTTTATCAGCAAATCGTGTTTCCATTCCAAAATCTTTTTCATTAATTTTTGTTCTATTTTTAAAATCCTCTCTATTATGATTAATACTCTTCGTGGGTGAGCGTGTTCCCTGAATATTTTCTAGAACATCCCTGGAAGACTCAATGCCAAATAATTTTCCTAGGTCAGGATTATTCAGTGCCTCTGCTGCAATCTTTGTCACTAGTGGATTTTTCTGAATCTCATCTATTAATTGTGATATAAGCCCAAATGCTCTGGTCGCATTTTCAGACTTTCCCAATATACTAGCAACAGATGTGCTCAGATTTGTTGCTGCCTCGGGAGCCATATTCAAAGTCACATTTAATCGCTGGCCTTCAACTTTACGAGGTTTTTTTACACTTCCCTTGTTGTCTTCTCTTACCGAGGTGTTTTTAAGCTTTTCTTGTTTTTCGCTGAATATTTTTCTCGTAGGAAGTTTCTTGAACATAGCGTGCTTGTTTGGTATTCTTCTGACATGTTTCCCTTTGAAAGCGTTCATGTTTGAATTACTGTGTTTTCTTGTCCAATGGTGCTTTCCTTTACTCGTTTCAACTTTGCTTTTTGCCTTGGATTTTAAGTAGTGCTTTTTAAATTGAGCTAATTGGCCCTCTTTCACTTTCTTTCTGTGAAGTTTTGCAGCATTATTGAATGGATGTTTCTTCAAAAAGTTTTTGTGATTCACTGTAAGTGAAGGTTTATCGTGGATATGCTGTAATTTCTTCCGACGTGATGAAACAGTAAATCTATTTCCTCTAAAAATTCCCCCTGCTGTATCTTCCATCGTTTTCATAATGTGGTCTTGCGCATGGTCCACCTTGAATGACTGCTGATCATTAGTCGGCATTTCCCGATGTTTCCCAGTCTCGTCCATGAATACCCTGGTAACATCTTCCTCGTCTCCCTGTGGGTGTTTTTTCAAGTAATGTTCCCGATTATTGTTGTCGTTGTCAGTGATTACCACTGTCCACAGTCCCCTGGGGTCTTCTCCCCAAAAATGAACGGTCATGAAGAGCCAGTTCTGTGAAAGTAACATCATTTGTCAAATGGTTTGAGAGACAATTATACAAAAGTTGTTTAGGATGTTCCTCGAATCATGCGCTTTTAAACAGAGAATCTACTGAAACCGTAATAACCAAACTAATTGGTTTCCATAGTCTGAGTGACCCAGTTTTAACACAAGCACAGTAAATATTTACCCCCTCCCCCCCTCCTTTAAGTTAGAGAGCTGAGCACACATATATCATTGTGCTAATCCGTCCCACTTTCCGACCTCGCCCATAGCCAAGTATACAAGACACAACTCTAACGAATAGGGGTTATTCAAACAAAGGACAACTATGACTGCAATTAAGACTACCTTGAGCCCAAGCGCCGAATGATCATTCCTCCGAGTTGTAAGCATCTTACTCCGTGTCCCGGATGGAGAGATCAATGTAATACTGAGATCTCCCCGGTGACGATGTTGCAATGTGACGTTTATTTGCACGTGCTCTAGTCGTCTTATCTCTGAGGGGGTGCTTGAACATGATGACGTGTTTGCTGATAGAAGGAGACTACCAGAATTGGGGATGAATCTATCAACGTTTAAAAAAACAGAGCATAGCATTGAAAAATGCATTTGACAAGTGTTGAGACCCTTGCTGTTTGGACGGGAAATCTGTCTGGCATACCAGTACGATCTTATCTTGGTCTCAATCATGGCATGATTGGATAAGAAGTAGAGCTGCGCTCCCTGGTTAAGATGCTGTTCTATCACTGAGTTCCCCCTTCCCCTTTTACATTTATACATGCGCACTCCGTTAGCAAATTTCTTAAATTTGCTATGGCACATTTAATTTGTGATAGGTTTACATGTTGTACAAATCACAGCTGATCGCGCTGACAATTAACAAATGGTAAACACCACAGCGTACACTATTGAGTTATGGATGCACGCGGGAGGTTGCTAAGCACGAAAGAAGCGTAAGAGTCGCTCGAGGCGATAGCCGAGAGCGACTCTAGCTTCTTGAGTGCTTAGCAAACCTCCCAAGTGCATCCATAACTCAATAGTGTACGCTGTGGTGTTTACCATTTGTTTTATAACATAACATTGATACATTGTAGCTAAAGAGTTCCCTTTTATTTAACAAATCTTACGNTAAAGCACTAGGACGAAACATGGCAAGTAGATGCGTTTGAATCGAGCGGTATTTTAACATTTTTCTTTTAAGCCCCCCGAGACCAGAAAAAACAAGCGCGCGCGGAAAAATAGTCTTTGCATTTGCTCACGTCAGCAGCGTACACCCATGGGCAAATGGGGGACGCTAAATTGACCAATCAGAGCGCGCGCTTTACTTTGGTTATGTTATAATTATCTTTCTGCAGGTACTCTGGTCGTCAGTACTGACAAGTACTATTACTTAAAACGATGACAACGAATCGTTTCCCAACCCATTTTCTCACAATTCATTCGTTATCAAGATCAATAGCACGCTTCCTGTTTGGTATCTGCAAGAAAGCCTGAGTTTCTCTTACTATTTACTTAGCACATGACATGATATGACATGACCCTAATAAATAACGTCTACAGACCTTTTATTATTGTGTGAAGCACCGTGGCAAATACGCTGCCTGTTGACATTTTTCCATCTCAGTGCCATCTCCACCATTTTACTGACATCCAATCTACCGAAGCCAAACTTGTGATTGTATCGTTTTCCTGCGCCGTTGGTTTTCCATCCTTCATCCAACGGACTTGTAACCTGGGAGGACTCTACAATCACGTGCTGCACATCTCTCCACGTTAGCGTGGGGCTGAAATAAGTCCAGTCACAAATAAGTAATTCATACGATTTTCTCCATTATTATCGATCATTTGTAGTTGAGAGGAAGGGAGGTTCATGGTTTGATCCATTCGGCCCAACCCTTCCCGTCCTCAAATGCCAACCTTCTCCCCCCCGTCCTCCCTCCCACCTCCACTTGAAAGCCTGTCTTTGAGGCAATACGTAGGAACAAGTAAAAGTAACACAACAAAACCTTTCTGGCAGATGCCTGTATTAGTTAAGATTCCTCTTTTCTGTTTCCATTTCGATGGTAACGATATCTGAGACCCGTATAACAATCGAAGACAAAACAGGGCTGTTAGCCTGGTGGTTATTTTGGGCAGCCATGCACTTTATTTAATTTGTTTTATTACTTTTTTTGTAATGTAAATTTAATTTAACTCAGGGTGCAAATAAAGTTGTTGTTGTTGTTGTTTGATGTAATCGACATAACGCAGTGTACGACTGTCTAACTAGCCTGGTGGTTATTTTGCGCAGCCATGCACTTTATTTCATTTGTTTTATTACTTTTTTGTAATGTAAATTTAATTTAATTCAGGGTACAAATAAAGTTGTTGTTGTTGTTGTTGTTTTTTGATGTAATCGACATAACGCAGTGTACGACTGTCTAACATACAAACAGATAAACAAAATTACAGATGACCCAAATCAGTATCTTAAACTATTTAAACGTACTTTGCCTCTAAGACTAAAGCCAACATTCCTGCGGCCAGTGGTGCAGCCGAGGAAGTTCCCTTGAATACCTCGGTACACTTATGGTGCAGATCAGTGGTGACCTTTAGAGGAAAGAAGTGCTCAAGCTCAGTGGAAGAACAAGATTTACATTTTATGCCTTAGAGAGCTAGTTTATGTCATGGATTTCGTATACATTTTGGTATATTATAGCAGTTTTCGGGATAAACTGATAAAGTTAACTTACAAGATGAGAGGTTTGGATAGAAAATATTCGACTCGTAATTACCTATAAACATTGTTGTATCTCGTGCGGGTAATTTGCTAGCTGAAAATCTTCCCCACTTTTCAGACGACTTACCACTCTGTTCTCGACACTTTCTCTATGAGATCCTCCAGAAAATGTGACAGCTAAGGTTGACGCACAAGTCTCTGTGTAGTACGTAGAGAGTCCATGGTCACTGATGGCGCCAATTGATATGGTGTATATACTGGTAGTGTAGCCATCACAGTTGCAGTCATCATCTGTAAGACCTCCATTGCCAGTCGCCCACACGAAAATGCTGCCCTTACCACCTCGACCCTGTGGTGAAAAATGGAACTATTAATGAAAGTCAAAGTCTACACGTAGAGACCGTGGCCCATTTCAAGTAGTGCGAAGCAACAAATTCACTCTTGATTACCTATCCACCTTGGTGTGATAGTAGGGACACTAGGGACTTTAGGGACCTTACGCAAACCACGACGGCGACGGCAACGACGACGTGGAAAAACAAGAGATCTAATTGGCAGAACAATAGGGACCTTACGCAAACCACGACGGCAACGAGAACGTGGAAAAACAATAGATCTAATTGGCAGAACAACAGCTTAGCACGTGCGTTTTGAAACTTTGTACATTTCTTAGCCGTCCTATGCAAAACAACAACGTGAAATCGCCAAAATTTGCGTCGTCTGCGAACCGAAACCGTGACGGCAAATTATTTTAATTTTCATTTGGAACTCAACGGCTACTTTATACGTCATACTGAAGTTGAGCTGTGGCGTCGTATAAGACAGTAAGCTCCTGCAACCATTTTTGAAATTCTAACTAGGAGTAGAAATTCATTTTTTAATCGACGTCTTCATTGGCGTTGCCGTCCTGATTGCGTAAGGTCCTTTTAACCAGTCAGGACGGCAACGCCACGGAAGAAGACGTCGATTAAAAAACGAGTTTCTACTTTTAGTTAGAATTTCGAAAATGGCTGGATGTGTTTACCGTCTCATAGGGCGCCAGACCTCAAACTCAACATAACGCATAAAAGTAGCGTTGAGTTCCAAATGTAAATTAAAATAACTTGCCGCCGCGGTTTAGCTTCACAGACGACGCAAATTTTGGTGATTTCACGTTGTTGTTTTGCAAAGGACGGCTAAGAAATGTACAAAGTTTGAAAACGCACGTGCTGGGCTATTGTTCTGCCAATTAGATCTATTGTTTTTCCACGTTCTCGTTGCCGTAGCCGTCGTGGTTTGCTTAAAGTCCCTAATG